AAAGAGTGTGGTTGTTTCAGATTGGCACATAAGTGGGGGGTAAATTCTCTAAGCTACGTGTGTTAAAAGTGCTCATCAAAACAGAAGCCTTGCCAAACTTACATCCTACCTCTGTTCTTCACCATGGATTTGTCCATACTTCCAGGTACAGAAAACAAAGACAACTACTTCAGACAAGCCTGTGTACAAGCTGATAAATCTAATAGATCTACTTCCCTGAGCTCAGTAAGTAATATTTTGTATAGCAGGGAGCTTGCCATGCTTAATGCTCAGGGTTTGAGACTAAGAACATGAGATTTATATCCCATTCCTCATATGATTATTACAGATGATCATAAGTAATGGACGTTTGGGGAACAATAAGTGAAATACCAATTCTGTGAGTTTTAGCACTGGCTTCAGTCCAGCAGAGTTATCTCATTAGTTTAGGAAAAGAAAAAAGGCATCGTTGCCTAAATCATCCAGATATACCCAGTTTCCTCTCTTTCCACCACAAGGTTATTTTTCTTTGTGTTGGCAGGGTGCATACAAAAGAAAAATAATTAGCTCCTATTTTTCTCTTGTGCAGTGAAGGAGTAATATTTGCCCTTGCCTTTGACCAACAAGAAGGTTTGTATATTATTAACAAAAATGACTTTGCCTCCAGGATAACAGAAGGAGAAGCCCAACAGGCCAGGGAACAACCCCCACTCCCTGCCTTACCCTGTGAAAACTGTCATTAGCTTCACTGGAGTTGTTGGTATTTAGGAGCATTTCCTCCAGTGGAGGATCTGCCCACCAGTGTACTCATTCTGTACAGGAGCTGCCATATTCCTGCATGGCACAAGTACCCCAGTTCATTTCTATTGGTAACAGTTCATGCTACTGATTATCACAATGCTTCAGAAGTGCTAATTATCTTTTCTTGGTAATGACTAATAAATCCAAATGGAGAACAGTCCTGGAGGGTGTTTACTTTAAAATTCACTGGCCAGGTACCAAAGTAGGCACAGCACTGACTGCTCCAGTTTGAATTACAGTTATTATACCAGAAAAAGGTTCCATTTTTGGAGAGTCTTGATGAAGACAAAGTTTGGTAGTTTATAGTTCATTTTAGTGACAGCAGAGTGGGGAAAGCACCCTTTTTAGTGAAAAGGCATCACTACCATGCTCTTTTTTTTCAGCCAAATCAACAGAGGTTTGATAGTTGCAATTGCATCTAGGAGAGGATGGCTTCCCAGAGCAACCACGTTGCAGAGAGAATTATTTCTGACAGACTCGTATTACAGGCATATTTGACAATTATGCATCGAGCACATGCAGCTCAGACATCTCTCCCTCCTCCAGCACAGCAGACAGTTGGCAAAAAGGGCTGCTTTAAGCCCAGAGGGACTGCTGCAGTGCCCATCTGGGTGCCCATCAGCACCACCCTTGGTGCTGGCTCTCACTGGTAAGGTGGCTGCTGCCACCAGCTGCACCATCCTGTTTGCTAGCACTCACAGCTCGTGCTGGGTTAAGCAACTCTCTGGTTGTTCCC